AGTGTTCATTCTCTGGGGAGCAGTTTAAATAGCCTGTGGGGGTGGTTTTGACCCTCCCTGGAGAGGGGTCACAGTTTGGCAGGTTTTCTCTGAGGTGGAGTCTGGAATAAGGCAACTCCCAGGGGAGGGGGCTTGAAATGGAACTTTCCACCCAACATTGCAAAATGGATGCCAGGAGCTGGGGTGAAGCCCCACCCAAACATTCCAGACCCTTTGAATATAAGGATGTCAGTGGCTGGGGTGACACTTATATCCAACCAAACACAAACTTCTATCTGTCTCTCTCTCTCTCCAAAGCGGTAGGGTATGAACAACCACCACTGTACCCAGTTTACCCAGGGTTTGGGACTGAACCCAGTGTCTTGTGCATGTTAGTCAGGCCAGCTGAATGAGCTACCAAATGAGCTGAAGCGTCAACCTGCCCCCCACCTCCCCTCCGACGCTGTTAATTTGGAGAGTGTCTCACTGAAGCGCTCAGACTGGCCTTGAACTTTATATCCTAGGAGGCTTTAAACTTCAAATTCTCCTACCTCACCTAAAGGGATTCTAGCCAGCTAGAGCATGGCAAACAAGACTCTTTCAGGCCTGCCCTTCTCCCCCATTCCCTCTACCACGCTAAAAAGAAAAGAAAACAAACAAACCACAAACATTAGATTACACTACCAGAGTTAGTCACCTCCTGAGGCTGACTACCAAGCTCCAGCAATCAAAGTATTGAAATCCGGCAATCAAAAACCTCTTTTGGCTGCCCTAACTAACATGCCCAATTAAGATGAAAGGGCTCATCCTCACAAGGGCTTTCCCTTCTACGTTTATCAACTGCCTTTGCCTATGGTCTCCTCTTTATCCAGAGGCAGTCCTTTGTCCTCCCAACAAACGCCCTTCCCCTCTGCCTTGGTCTCCATCTCCTGTGTTCAGTCTCTTATTCCCTGCCTGTTCTCTCTTCTCTGTGTTGAGAACTTGGTCTTGGGGTGTCCTGAGCCAACAGTGGTCCCTTCCGTCACCCTCCCAAATAACTAGGATAAAAGTCTGCTTCTCTGGGCCTGACTTCTTTTAAAAAAATTATTTTGTTTTAAATAGTTTATTATTTTTATTTTTTATTTTTCGAGACGGTGTTTCTCTGTGTAACAGTCCTAGCTATCCTGGAACTCACTTTGAAATCCAGGCTGGCCTTGAACTCACTGAGATCTGCCTGCCTCTGCCTCCCAAGTGCTAGGATTACAGGCATGTCCCACCATCACCCAGTTTATTATGTATTTTTATGTACTTTGCCTGCATTCATGTGCATGCATGACATGCGTGCCTGGAGGCCAGAAGAGGGCACCGATCCCCCATTGCTGGAATTACAGATGGTTGTGAGTCACCATGTGGGTATCTGGAATTGAACTTGGTTCCTCTAGAAGAACAGTCAGTGCTCTTAACCACTGAGACGTGTGTGTATCCAGGCCCCTTGTTTTGGGATAGAATCTCTCTGTGAAGCTCCGACTATTATGGAACTCATTCTGTAGACCAAACTGGCCTCAGACTCAGAGATCTGCCTGCCTTTGCCTCAAGGGCTGGGGTTAAAAGTGTGCACCACCATGCCCCGCCTCTTTTTAAGTCTTTAATTAACATAGTAATTTTACATATTTCTGGGGTTCTGTGTGACATTTCAAAACATGAGTATTGCTCTGACCAGACATATCTTCCACTTGAGGCATGATTGTGTTCAGAGTGTTCGCTCTACTAGCTATTTTGAAATATCTAATTATTGTCAACCATAGTTACAAGTGAGTCTTCCTAACCTACTTCACGCAGACTACAACCACCAGCCAATCTCTCTCAACGTCCCTGCTTTTCTTTTTTCTGCTGAGCCTGGAACTGCTGTAGTTGCATCAGCCTCCTGAGTCTGGGATTGGAGTTCTCAACCTGTGGGTTTCGACCCCTTTTTTGGGGGGGGGGGGGTGTCACATATCCTGCATATCAGATATTTACAGTATGATTCGTAGCAGCAGCAAACTTACAGATATAAAGTAGCAATGAAATAATTTTATGGTCGGGGTCACCACAGCCTGAAGAACTGTAATAAAGGGCACCACATTAGGAAGGTTGCGAACCAGTGGATTAAAGGTGGGTGCTGCCACACTCAGTCGTATCTTTGTTTCTCTAAGATTCCTAGCTCTGTGCCTTCTCCCTTCTCAAGGTCTTGGCTGCTGTGGGAATAGGAGCCACGCACACTGTTCCAGTAAATCTTGCTACCTGCTTCCAAGAAAAGCCCAGAAGGAGGGACAGGAGTTAGAGTTAGGCTAATCAAGAAGTCAATTTTAAAAATCTGAACCAAAGTGTTGGCTGTAAAAGAAGAGCAGGCCAGCTTCTGACAATTACACTGAGGCTTGGGAAAACAGCCTCCAGGGAAGCCGAGGACAGAGCAGGTCTTGGTGGCTGCTGGCTAATCCGGATAGACTTGAATTTGGTCCACAGCAAAAGTGGAAGGAGAGTACTCTGGCGTCCATAAGGTTTCCTCTAGCCTTCACATGCACATCACTGCATGCACACCCATGCACACACATACAGAAAAATTCAAACGATTGTTTAAAGGAGTCCAGAGCTGTGCGTGGTGGACCACTCCTGCAATCCCAGCACTTGGGAGGTGGGTCCAAGAGAATAAGGCCCTATCTCAAAAACCAAAAACTGAGCAACAGTGTAGGGCCATACTTTGCTATACAGGACATCTGAGGCCAGCCTGGACTATATAAGACATTGCCTCAAATAAATAAAGACTGGAATAGCTTAAGTGGTAGAGTGCTTATCTTGCATTGATCTCTAGCGCGACATCACACACATACACCTAACACTACCCCTTATTGGCTTTCTTAGAGTAGAGGGTGCCAGCTTGTTCTGTGAAATCAGCGATCTTTTTTTTTTTTTAAAGATTTACTATGTACAGTGTTCTGTATCCTTGCTGACCAGAAGAGGGCACCAGATCTCATTATAGATGGCTGTGAGCCACCATGTTGCTGGGAATTGAACTCAGGACTTCTGGAAGAGCTGTCAGTGCTCTTAACCAGCCCTGAACTCAGCAATCTTAAAGCAGAGATTACCTGTCTTATGTAAATCGTTCTATTAACAACCAGGACTCATGGGTCTATGAGGGGAACTGAAGCCACTTTTTTGTTGTTTCTTTAGTGCCTTTCCCGTGTTTTTTGTTTTTAGATAATGTCTCTTAGCCCTGGCTGTCCTAGACCAGGTTTGCTTCAAATTCACAAAGATCCGGCTGCCTTTGTCTCCCAAATGCTGGGAATAAAAGCATGTGCTACTATGCCTGGCTCCCATGTTTACTTGTGTTTTTTGAGACAAGGTCTCACTGCATAGCCCTGGCTGGCCCAGAGTTTACTATTTAACAAGGCTGGCTGACGTCACTCGGAGTTTTACTGCTTATGTTTCATTGCTGGGATTAAAGACATGCACCAAGAAGAGCCCATGTATTCTTTAGCATCTGGCCCGACACTGGCTTTAAACATCACATCTATTTGTACATGTGCAAGCTAGAGGCCAACTTGTGGGAGTCTGTCTCCATCCACCATGTGGGTCGCACTTCAAACAACCCACTCCAGCATAGCCTGGAGCAGAATTACCTCAGCCTTCAGGGTGCTGGGGGTTATAGGTACATACCACCATGCCCAGCTCCAAGAAATCCTGTCAACTCTTCTCTTGCTATACTATCTCAGAGCAAAGGTTCACCTCCTAGTCACATTTCTCCACAAAGCTGTATGGGAATCTCTTTCAGCAATCAAGAGACCCTGGGACCACAAACTACAGTAGCCTTTAAAAAAAAAAAAATCAGCACAGAAGATTTGGGGCAAGTCTTGCTATAACTCACCCTGACCATGAATGCCTATTTGACCCTATCAGTCTCTTTAAGCACAATCATGTCACTTACTACACTCAACAAACTCAATTAAAAAATTTAATAGCCAACATGAAGTGCCCTTTTCCCGTTCAAACTCCAACTTTGTATGCAGTTCGATTAGATCTGCAAGGTTCTTAAAAACTACCTGGCCAGGGGCTGGAGAGATGGCTCAGAGGTTAAGAGTACTTGCTGCTCTTCCAGAGGTCCGAGTTCAATTCCCCACAACCACATGGCAGCTCACAACCATCTATAATGAGATCTGGTGTCCTCTTCTGTCATGCAGATGTACATACAGACAGAACACTGTGTACATAATCTTTTAAAACTACCTGGCCGGAGCCACAATATGTAGACTAGGCTGGCCTTCTGATTCCCCAGGGCTGGGATTAAATACAAGAATTTCATTTACTTTACAAACCTTAATCTCTAGCTGGAAAGTAGTTACAAAAGCATTAACTTCAACTGGCAGGATTGGTGGGTTTGAGTTCTTGGTGAACCTCTAAGATGGTAAGCCTTTAAGCCCCATTTGAAAGTGATTGCTAACATTAGGTAAGTATATGGGTCTGAACTGTAAGCCAGCTATTTAGACTGTCTCAAGAATATTCCCAAAAACTTTGCCGACTGAGGGGATGTAAACCAGATTTCACCACAGGTGTTCACTGTGAAGGCTTTTAACTTTCCCACTACTTACCACTGCTCAAAGTATAAAAGGGTCTTCTTCCTAGCAAAGGGAATTATCCCAACCAGCCAGTACCTTACCAAAGCAATGGAGCCATGCATTTCAGTGTAATTAGCCAACAAACCCCCCTCCCTCCCAAACACACCAACATATCTAAAGAGCTCAACCAAAACTCTGGCTATTTCCCTCCAAAGCCTTTAAAATGAGCTTCAGACAAGTATGTTTGCTTCCCCCAAAGGCTGCATGGGAAAGACCCCCATATTGTTGCAAATTGATATTATAGCTTTGTCATTAACTTTTAAACTCAATTCCCAACTCATATAAGATTAAGTGTTGCAAACTGTAGTCAATACCAATCTCTACAGGTAAAGACAACCAGTTGAGGTCCACCCCCACCCAAGCCACCACAGAAATCTCACAAGTGACACCATATATGCTTACCATGCAACAAAACCTTTATTAACATTTTTTAACAGGTTCAGCCTATTACTGAAACTTGTATTTTCTAAACTTAAATTGGGACAAATGGCCATAGTGCAGAGTAATGCCACCATTGCCCACTGGGAATGCAGACTGAAGAATTAATAGCCACCCCTGAGACGGAGGACCAGGTGCAGGGTGGACTCTTTCTGGATGTTGTAATCAGAAAGAGTGCGGCCATCTTCCAGCTGCTTGCCAGCAAAGATGAGTCGCTGCTGGTCAGGGGGGATGCCCTCTTTATCCTGGATCTTGGCCTTGACGTTCTCGATGGTGTCACTGGGCTCCACCTCCAGGGTGATGGTCTTGCCGGTCAGGGTCTTCACGAAGATCTGCATGCCACCCCGGAGTCGAAGGACCAGGTGCAGGGTGGACTCTTTCTGGATGTTGTAATCAGAAAGAGTGCGGCCATCTTCCAGCTGCTTGCCAGCAAAGATGAGTCGCTGCTGGTCAGGGGGGATGCCCTCTTTATCTTGGATCTTGGCCTTGACGTTCTCGATGGTGTCACTGGGCTCCACCTCCAGGGTGATGGTCTTGCCGGTCAGGGTCTTCACGAAGATCTGCATGCCACCTCGGAGACGGAGGACCAGGTGCAGGGTGGACTCTTTCTGGATGTTGTAATCAGAAAGAGTGCGGCCATCTTCCAGCTGCTTGCCGGCAAAGATGAGTCGCTGCTGGTCGGGGGGGATGCCCTCTTTATCCTGGATCTTGGCCTTGACGTTCTCGATGGTGTCACTGGGCTCCACCTCCAGGGTGATGGTCTTGCCGGTCAGGGTCTTCACGAAGATCTGCATGCCACCCCGGAGACGAAGGACCAGGTGCAGGGTGGACTCTTTCTGGATGTTGTAATCAGAAAGAGTGCGGCCATCTTCCAGCTGCTTGCCAGCAAAGATGAGTCGCTGCTGGTCAGGGGGGATGCCCTCTTTATCTTGGATCTTGGCCTTGACGTTCTCGATGGTGTCACTGGGCTCCACCTCCAGGGTGATGGTCTTGCCGGTCAGGGTCTTCACGAAGATCTGCATGCCACCTCGGAGACGGAGGACCAGGTGCAGGGTGGACTCTTTCTGGATGTTGTAATCAGAAAGAGTGCGGCCATCTTCCAGCTGCTTGCCGGCAAAGATGAGTCGCTGCTGGTCGGGGGGGATGCCCTCTTTATCCTGGATCTTGGCCTTGACGTTCTCGATGGTGTCACTGGGCTCCACCTCCAGGGTGATGGTCTTGCCGGTCAGGGTCTTCACGAAGATCTGCATGCCACCCCGGAGACGAAGGACCAGGTGCAGGGTGGACTCTTTCTGGATGTTGTAATCAGAAAGAGTGCGGCCATCTTCCAGCTGCTTGCCAGCAAAGATGAGTCGCTGCTGGTCTGGGGGGATGCCCTCTTTATCCTGGATCTTGGCCTTGACGTTCTCGATGGTATCACTGGGCTCCACCTCCAGGGTGATGGTCTTGCCGGTCAGAGTCTTCACGAAGATCTGCATGCCACCTCGGAGACGGAGGACCAGGTGCAGGGTGGACTCTTTCTGGATGTTGTAATCGGAGAGTGTGCGGCCATCTTCCAGCTGCTTGCCAGCAAAGATGAGTCGCTGCTGGTCAGGGGGGATGCCCTCTTTATCCTGGATCTTGGCCTTGACGTTCTCGATGGTGTCACTGGGCTCCACCTCCAGGGTGATGGTCTTGCCGGTCAGGGTCTTCACGAAGATTTGCATTTTGACCTTGAATTTAAAAGGTTAATTGTAAATATCTAGTAAAAATTTCGACTTCCACAAAATACCTCTAGGGAAAACCCCTCCCCCGCGTTTCATCACAACACAATCTGTTTTGTCATGGTTCAAAGATGCGAAAGCATTTTAAAACACTAAACTGGCGTCTAGAACTGTCACGGGCTGCGAGACTTCCGAATCTGCCAGTAACAGCCGAGATAAATGAATAAAAAAAAACTCAAACCACAAGGCCGTTAGTAAGAATTCTCGTTTAAACAGAAACACATAACTCCTACAATGAAATTAGCGTTAAGTCTGGCCGTTGAGTCGCCGAGTACCTCCTTTCTGCATTCCCCCACTGAAATAACCGCGATGGTCTCTCCATCGGTTAGGCGTCCGTTAAGCTCCCTAGCGCGCGCGCCAGGGCCGCCCCCGCTCCGCGCAAGCGAACAAGGCCCACTCTTCCCGGAAGGCCCGTTGCCGCGTCACGACAGCTCGCCCTCCCCTCCCCCACCCCTAAGAAAAAGCCCGTCTAGCTTAACGTAAGCCCCTTCTCCCAGTCCTTCCGACTCAAGCGCCGCTGACCATTACCCGTTAACGAATGCGATGAAACGAGAAAACGCCGAGCGCGTAGAAACACAGGGACGCAGACACCCCCGAGCCGCACAATGCCTCTCGTCACTGAGCTCCGCTGCCGCGCGAGCACTATTTATGCAGCGTCTGTTGCGTCACTCAGCACGCTTACGTAGCCGTCGTCTTCCTGCGCCACCGAAAGTAGTCCCTCGTCCACCACCTCCTACCACTCAGTTAGACTTTTCACCCAAGGGCCCAGTTCCTCACAACCGAAGAAAAGAACACTAACAAATAAAAGACCCTTATTTCCGGCGACCCTTCTCCTCCTGAACAAAAATATGGACAAAATCATCGGGCGGATGGATTCAAGTTAAAGGGCCCTGCCTCGAAAGCTCTGGAAACTTCCTTGCTGCGTCACCGCTGATTGGTGAGGCGACAAAGATTAAGCCGGTGTTGATTGGTCAGGGCCACGGGCCGCTCGATTGTTGCTGGGCTCGGCTCTGGGGCAGTTTAACGTCGACGTTGCTAAGTAACCGGGTGCGCCTGCGCCGCGACTCATTTTCGAGAAGTACTGTCGTTTCCTGCCTGAGGTGGGGGAGGGGGTCTTCCCGCGTCGCGAGTCCTGCCCGCCCCCACCCCCCCCATTCCCCTGTGGCCCTCTCGCACCCCGCGCTCGGCGGGCTTACGGCCAAGCGTGAACTGCGACCCCACGCGGCTCGCACTGCTGGACGTTAGCCTTCGCTCCGGCCCTGCAGGGTAGACTTGGATGCTTCTGCAGCCAGAGCCCTTAGCGGCTTTGTCTTATCCCTAGCCGCCCGCAGGCTCAGACGGGAGAGTAGAGCGCCAGCGGGGCTGGAGGCTGAGGGCTCTGCTAGAGACCCCGCCGGGCAGATTCTTTTCCTCCTCAGCAGTCTTTAAACAATGGAAGGAAGGAGGGCACTTGTTCATTAGACTCAATACCCGGGGTTCACACACCTCTCTAATTGGGGGTGCCTATTGTGCAAAGGAAGGGGAAGGAGCAGTTTAATCCTAGAACCTCAGGACTGGGTTCAGACATCCTGGGTGTGGCCATTTTTCCCTCCCGAGATAAACAAGGAGCAAGCAGGGCTGCGTGGATGGCGACGTCGTGCGGAGTCACGAGGGTGGCCACGTAAATAACCTTGAAAACAGCTTTGTTTGCCCCGGCTGCCAACCACCTTTCAGTAAGACCTCTAGCTGTGTTAAATTAAGTAACCTTCACTCTGTAAAGGTTCACTAGTTTTTAACACGGGACTGAACGAAACGTTGGGAATTTTTCTGGTTTGCCTAGCGCGAACCAAAAGTCCCCAGCTTCGATTTCCCCAGCCCTGTGTCTACTATTTAGAATAAAGAGTAGGTAGATTTTAATTTGAAGTGGATTAAAGTTTAGAAAATGTCCATTTTACATAGTACTTTATTCTTATTAGGCCTCATGAGTTGGACCTTGTTTCACGAAGCAGAGTACGTCCTGAGTCAGACATTTTGACGTGCAGGTTGAGCGAGAATGCAGATCTTATGACTGGTGTGATGACTTCACTGGGTTATATTCTAGCAATTTCCAGAACGAGTCTTATCACTTCCTGGTTTATTGTTTTCTCAAAGTAGATCATTTGATTACTTCACCACAGCAATGATGTTTCAAAAGAATGGCATCTGGACTCCTCCTAATGCAGATGAGATGGCATTTTTTTTTAAGATTTTATTTATTATGTATACAGTATTCTGGCTGCATGTATAATCATACATGCCAGAAGAGGGCACCAGATCTCATTACAAATGGTAGTGAGCCACCAAGTGGTTGCAGGGAATTGAACTCAGGACCTCTAGGAGAGCAGCTGGGCTCTTAACCTCTGAGCCATCTCTCCAACCCCAAGATGGCTTTTTTCATAGTATAATTTTTATTTGGTCCATGAGTCCTTGTCTCTCCCTACTCCCCACCCCCGACAGGGGGGTCACTGTGTAGCCCCTGGTTGTCCTGAAACTACAGTGTAAATCAGGCTGGCCTACAGCTCAAAGGGATCATCTTGGCTTTGCCTTCTGAGTATTGGAATTAAAGACCTGGACCATCATTCACTCCCAACTGTATGTATGAGTGGTTTGTTTTTGTTTTTTGGTTTTTGCTTTTTTTTTTTTTTTTCCGAGACACGGTTTCCCTGTATAACAGTCCTAGCTATCCTGGAACTAGCTCTTGTAGACCAGGCTGGCCTCCAACTCACACCTGCCTCTGCCTCTGCCTCCCAAGTGCTGGGATTAAAGGCATGAGCCACCACCGCCCGTCCGAGTGTTTTTCTTTTCTTCTTTTTTATTTATTATGTATACAATATTCTGTCTGTGTGTCTGCCTGCAGGCCAGAAGAGGGCACCAGACCCCATTACAGATGGTTGTAAGCATGTGGATGCTGGGAATTGAACTCAGGACCTTTGGAAGACCAGGCAATGCTCTTAACCTCTGAGCCATCTCTCCAGCCCCCCGCCCTCCGAGTGTTTTTCTTACATGTATGTTTATATACGACCTGTGAACCTGGTACCTGAGGTTCTTAGAAGAGGGTGTCAAATACCCTGGAACTATATAGACAGTTACGAGCACTTGTGTGGGTACTTGGGAATGGAGCCCCAGTCCTCCAGAAGAGTGGCCAGTGCTCTTAACTGCTGAGCCATCTCTCCAGCTCCCCTGTAAACAGATTTAAAACAAAGCAGACAAACAAAAGAAAAAGATTGTGTCATCTTTAGGCCCTAAAACACACACAAAAGAAACAGTAGTATGATGTATGTTTGTGTATTTATGTTCTTTTGGGACAGGGTTTTTCTATGTAGCACTGATTGTCCTGGAACTCTGCAGACCAGGCTGGCCTTGAATTTACAGAGAAATAAAATAAGCTGGGCAGTGGTGGCGTACACCTTTAATCCCAGCACTTCGGAGGCAGAGGCAGGTGGATCTCTGTGAGTTCGAGGCCAGCCTGGTCTACAAGAGTGAGTTCCAAGACAGGCTCCAAAACTACAGAGAAATCCTGTATCGAAAAGCAAAAAAACAAACAAAACAAAAACGAACAAAAAAAAAAAAGGTTTATTGACAAACTTGACTTACCTGCTGAAATGTCTTACTAAAAACCAGAACAATACTCTTTCCTGCTCTCATACCACAACATTAGTTACAAGCATGACAGTTCTTTAAAGGGTCAGTAGTTGTTGGGGAACATTATGCTATGGTATGTGACTTTTTTTTTTTAAAGATTTATTTATTACGTATACAATGTTCCTCCTGTATGTACACCTCCATGCCATAAGAGGGCACCAGATCTCATTACAGATGGTTATTGAGCCATTATGTGGTTGCTGGGAATTGTGGTTGCTGGGAATTGAACTCAGGACCTCTGGAAGAACAGTCAGTATTCTTAACCTCTGAACCATCTCTCCAGCCCAGGTATGTGACTTTTGTTTATGTTGTATTTAACTCTGTGAAGCTGTGATACATTGCCTGTATAGAACACCTGATAGTCTAATCAAGATCTGATCAACCAATAGTGAAGCAGGAGCAAGGAGAGGCGGGGCTGGCAGGCAGAGAGACTATATAGAAGGAGGAGACCATCCCGGGCCAGCCATCCAGCTACACAGCAGTTAACGGAGTAAGAGTAAGGTTTGCAGAAGTAAGAGAACAAGCCAGGCAGTGGTAGCGCACGCCTTTAATCCCAGCACTCGGGAGGCAGAGGCAGGCGGATCTCTGTGAGTTTCAGACCAGCCTGACCTACAGAGCTAGTTCCAGGACAGGCTCCAAAGCCACAGAGAAACCCTGTCTCGAAAAACCAAAAAAAAAAAAAAAAAAAAAAAAAGGAGAACAAGAAAAGCCCCAAGGCAAAAGGTAGATGGGCTAAAATAAGTTAAGAAAAGCTGGCAAGAAACAAGCCAAGCTAAGGCTGTATGTTTATAACTAAGAATAAGCCTCATGTGATTCATGTGGGAGCTGGGTGGAGGGCCCCCAAAAGAGTAAAAACATCAGACTACTATTACAAGTAGTGCCTATTATTAATGAATAGTTCTCTGAGTGCCAGATCTATCAAACTGGCAGAGCCATCCCAACACCACCTCCCTAAAGTCAGACCTCGCCTGAAAACATGTAAGGCTCATATTTATAAACTACATCGGAGAGGATTTTTATAAATCTTATTTTCTAGAAGACAAACCATTCCAACATATTAGCAAAAATGTACAAAGTCAGACAGTACTAGGTGCTGGCAAGGATCTTAACCTGGAACCCCTGATGATGAGATGACCATCTCTAATCCCCAAATCCAAACTGCTCAGAAGTTGTGTATTTGTTCTTGAAAAGTTTCAGATTTCAGGGGCTGGTGAGATGGCTCAGGGGATAAAGACACTTGCTGACAAGCCCAATGCCGTGTCTGACCCCTGAAGCCACATGGTGGAGGAAACAGACTCCACTAAGCTATCCTCTGACTCCAAAAGTGCACAAGACGTGCACGCACACACACACACACACACACACACACTCACACTAAATTTTAAAAAAGTTCTCAAGTTCTATTATGCAACAATATGTAATACAATAATACATACAGTGAAAAATTGTTAAAATGGTTTTATTCTGTTTTTGAGACAGTCTGTAATTGTTTGGCTTAAAACTAACAGAGACCCACCTGTCTCTGCCTCCTGAGCATTAAAGGCATGTGCTACCCTAGCACCTTTTCTTCCACAATTAAAAAATTTTAAATCATCAGGTAGGTGTGTTTGCACACACCTTTAATTCCAGCACTCAGGAGGTAGAGGCAGACGGATCTCTGAGTTCGAGGCCAGCCTGGTCTACAGAGTGAGTTTTCAGGACAATCGAGGATACACAGAGCAACCCTTTCTCAAAATAAAATAAATCTGGAGCTGTAGACCCAGCTTAGAAATTGCTAATACTGTTCTGTAGTTGAAGCAGTATTTGTGCAAAGCCTGCATCTAAATACTTGAATTCATAAATTTAACTGCTCAGTACCAGAGGTGGCAAATCTCATGTGATAGAGGACTCCTGCCCTGTTCCATACCTTCATGACTTCACAGTCAAGGTCAGCAGGAAGCTCATTGGGCACCTACATGGTGACCTCGCCATTATTCTGTCTCTCTTGGAACCATGTTCAGTTTACTTACTATGCAATAGAC